TAACACCTTCAAAACACCATCAAAATCTAAATACGTACACTCACTCATCAATGTATCATTTCAAAGTCTCGAACAATTTTAAACAATTTCTATCACATAAAACTACTACGAAGTTACAAGAAGAGTAACTTCGTTCGTTTCAAGGTACCGCAAAAATATTGCATCATATTATTTGCACAAGTACAAATCGTTTCAGAACGAGCCCAATGTAAACATTTACATTTCAATGCGATCATCTTTTGTCAATTTCACTATCAAAACGCTAAAAAATCCATTCAAATCAAACAAATTCGCCAAATAAAAGAATTTTTTGCTGCGCGCTCATCTCAATACCTATCCATACACAAATGGTCACGGCTGGGCGAATCGACCGCAAACAAACACCATAACCACCCCACCGCACGCTTTTATCGGTTCGTCGTTTGTAAACATAAACTTTTACAGTATCCCTTCGTTCAATTCGATTGTGTTCAGCGCTGACTAATAGAATTAATGAATACACAAAGCAAAATACGATTGATGGATGGTGTACGGTAGAAGAGAGACGCCGAACTCAACCAATCATGTGCGCTCAAAATGAGAATGAACGAGAACACGGCAAAATAAACAAAATTAAATAAAACATAATAAAACAATAGTATATCATAAGATATAATTTGATAACAAAATGATATTATACTATATAAAATGTAAATGTATCTGCTGATACAATGATAAAATAACACTGATAAGTAGTAATTATATAATACTATCGAATTAGAACATGAATAGTATAGATGATATGACATGATATTATATAGTGATTAGAGTTCGCTGCGATGTATTAGTTGATGAGAATGTAATGATTAATAAACCAGTTTTTGCTAACGGTTTCGCGTTTTTGCATGGGAATTCGGGCAACAACTCGTCGGACTCTTTTCACATCTATCAACCAAATGTACAGTATCACAACTACACTATGCATCAAACACATGCCAACATGCCTACAGTATATAGCAATCATACCTAGAGCATTACGAAATATAGCACTTCTGATAAAAGGTTGCCTCGGAAAACCCAGTTGCACTAAGTTATTAAGCGAAAAATTCACAACTGAATACTCTTGATTCTACATGACTAGTGGATGTGACTGTAAGAATGAATACAATGTCACCAAATGCACTTCGAAACGTCACAACAATCTGATAGCGAAAACACGAAATCAGAAGTGGCATTGAAAAGCAATATTCTAGAACCCGAGAGTACCAAACAAAAGCACCTTCTCTTGAATTTGAAGACAAAAGTTTCAAATTAAACCGAATCGCAAATCAACCAATAAGTTGATAAGTTGAAAGTTGGAATTACCCATAAGTTAAAATTACCCATCCGAACGATATCACAACAAGCAATAATCAACAGAGGATATTTATTTGAATGATTAAACAATTTATCAAAGAACAAATAACAAACCCTTGAAACGGCGTTGTCGGCAGAATAATCTCGTCTTGACTTCGTGGACTCGCATTCGATCGTGTTGATGAGCACGCTTCTGTGTCGTTGTTGCTCTCGTTTGCGTACATATCGTACGAGGACTCTTTCGACTCATCCGATGCACNGCTTCTGTGTCGTTGTTGCTCTCGTTTGCGTACATATCGTACGAGGACTCTTTCGACTCATCCGATGCACTCGAACAAGTCATTTCGTTTTTGATTTGGTGTGTTAGTGGGGCCGTGACTGGCACTGAACCTGGGCCTGCACCCTGAAGAATGGCTGAGCCACCAGTGTGCAATAGCTGATGCTGAGTGCTGCCAGCTAGCGGATTCAGCACGACACTACTCGTTGACGGAATCATCGACTGGGGTAAGGACAAGGGAGGACACAATTGGGACTGGGAGTGAGGTATCTGAGCTGTTCCTGATGCTGCTGCCGCGGTTGCGGCTGATGTTGTTTGCTGGGGATGATGGAGATGAGATTGGTGCGTCTGAACGTGAGCTTGTGCGGGCCCTGGAGCCTGACCTTGAGAAGTCAATGAAGGTTGCGACAGTCCGCCACCAACCATTGGCGATGGCACACTGACGGGCGGAGGTTGCGACACAACCGGACTGTAGAATGAAGACGTGGGGGTGAGTGGTGGAAAGCCGCAACCGGCAAATCCACCCATACCACTCATCGCTTGCATTATCACCGATAGGGGTTCTCTGAAACTAGAATGCAGTTATACATCGATTCAAAGACATACAAAGGCTCACCAAAATATCTAACTCAAGTCAATCGCAGAAATCANCAAAGAATGTCACAAATTCAAAAAAGGCAAAATTAACGCACAGTACTTGATGTTTAACGCAACAATCGCAATTGCAATCTACCAACGGAATAAATTTTACAATTTACATCGAATTTTGATGAACTCTTTCAAAATCAAACAATCCTGGCATTGCATTCTTTGAATTGATACAAAACAATCAACTACTCAAAGATGGAAATCGCCTGCTCACCACATCAACTTCTTCCCAAATACAAACGAGCACACCTGGTCAATGACAAAAACTACAAAACTTCATTCAACACAAACTATCAATAATATATCCACGATAAATAAAGCGAAATATAATCGCTTGACCGAATCACGATCGATACCCCGTTAAACAATACCACCACCAGCATTAACAACAAACACAATCCATATCCAAAAATAACCAATAACACATCCGAACCACCACCGTTCTGCATACTCTCCCAATGAGTCACCGTACGTTACAATATTATCACTGACTAATATCTACACACAGAATAATGTATGAAACAAAAATTAGTTGATCAAACTATGAGTCAGCATCTGCGAAACGAGTGAATAAACCAAACTGCATTAGATATGAGCAAACTATCGGTGGGTGATTCAAGTAATGAAAAGGCTGGCAGCAGCTTCTTAAAGAAGACGATACCATACAATAAGATAGCATATAAAATTCTCAAGTATTTTGTTGGCTTTAAGAATGGGAAAAACTGGAAAAGTTGCAAAGAAATTCTAAAAATCTTTTCGAAAAATTTATCAAAATATTGGAAGACTTTTTTTTGCAGAGTGAAAATTCGACAAAATTTCTCACTAAAAATATCATTTCTCAGCTGTGAATACCGATGTAACACACATCCATCCGCTTTTACGAAGAGCATATGAAGAACACACAAAACACATTCCGATTTCCCTCGTGAGTCATCCAAAATTATTTACATATTCAAAATATATGATGAAAGAAGCNAACACATTCCGATTTCCCTCGTGAGTCATCCAAAATTATTTACATATTCAAAATATATGATGAAAGAAGCAGTTAGTGCGATTTACAAAGTGATTTTATAATCGCAACGGAAATTCCTTCCTTACTGTCAATACTTGTAGTCACAGGTAAAGACAAGACTTACAAACAAACGATGTACTTCGAAAAAATCAAAATTTTCCATTTCCCGAAGTATTTCATCTACCCATAAAGCATATTGCCACTTTCTCGAACGCATTCTTATTCTCGAAATCAGCATGACCACAAATACAACTGTTTTATCACTCTATCACCACAATTATTATCACCAGTATCTTAATGATTATCACTATAGCCGAACCGTCACCATCATCATTACCAGCACCTAAGTTCCCTCAAGATAGTACTTTACTTCAAGTTCCTTGAAGACAACACTTCCAGCACTTAAAAAATAAAAACCAAGTTTGAACAACAAATGAAATCAAAAACAAATCCGTTTCAATTTCATTCCGTCCAACCCAGTACCAATCATTCACCTGCCACTAAACATCATATTTCTAAGAAGGTGCACTTCACAAGGTTTGCTTTCTGACTTATGAATAAATAGCTGAATGCTATGAATTCTTATCAATCGAGTGAACTGAATCTCTACGAGTACACTGACTAACCACCAGCATAACATAATAAAATAAAGCCGAACAAATTAAATCAAATCGAATCGAATCAAAAGAAAATAATTTTCTCCTAAAA